GGGGGGGAACAAATGGTCATGTTTTGTGTTACTCTGCTGATCTGCTTCTTTGTAGAGTTTCAAATTAGAAATTATGAAGATTGTGTAGCTTTTCACTAATGTTCTTACGAATTCTTCTTTTCTTTTCTTTCAGTCACTTGCACCTGAGCATAATCCATGGGCTGCCAGAAGTAACAATGCAAGTAATAGGCTTAGCCCCTGATGGGGAGTGGCTGAGCCAAACGAACAATATGCTGCAAACGCCTCTCCACATAGCTGTTATCACGAGACAGGTTGCGGTTGTGAGGAGACTCATGTGTGCTGGTGCTTTTGTTGATGTTCAAGACCAAATGGGAAACACACCTCTACACAATGCATGCAGACTTGGTTTCGAAGATGTTGTTCGGACCCTTCTCACTCCAGTCAGATATGAAGAAACTTACCAGAACAGTTATGACATCCCCCTGCAGTGCATTCCTCAAGATCTGGAGTCCAAAAACTATGAAGGTAAGCAAATGCAGCCTATTTTGTCTTTCAAAGGGGAGTTCCCTGCTTCAGTATCAAGGTTTAGAAAAGACTAGAATTAACTTTGATATATTTAAAGTAGGCTACTGTTATGTAAAAAAGGAGAGTGGGGTTAAATTAAATTTATTGTGACATGGAGATTTTGTTTGCTTCAGAATGAATATGTGTTTTGTCTCCTATTCGTGTTTCAAGTGTAACTGAAATGTGTAGGCTATAACTTTCACAATTTATGCTGTGTGCCCTATCATTTATAATTATTGAGTTGCTATTAGAAAGCATTTATCTAGAATAAAATGGAAATGATTGATTTCTCTTTTCTGTTTTGCGTAAGTCAAAGATTATTACAAATAGATCTACCACTGAGACATTGGATTGTTTGTTTTGTCGTCTGCATTATATTCATTGCTGCTTATGAATGAGAGTTTTAAAAAAAATTGACTTCCCCTGATTTATATGAAAAGGCAGCTAAAGTTATGCTAGTAATTATTTTTTCTGCAAAATTTCTTACACATTTTGTTCTTTTTTTCTCTTTTCCATTAGGTTTGACATGTCTCCATCTGGCTGCAATAGGTGGACACATAAACGTCATGAGACTCCTGCTTTTTGCTGGTGCCAATGTCAATGCTGCTGAAGGGAAAGGTGGCCGCACCGTGCTGCACCTTGCTGCCGACTGGGGACACATTGAGATGATGAAGTTCTTGTTGTCACGGCGCGACATTTTCATTGATGCCAAGACTTACGCCGGCCTCACTCCAATCTTACTCGCTTACGGACGCAAGCACGAGGATGCAGTTGCTGAACTGTTCAGCAGAGGAGCTTCTTGTACAACACTGTTGCTGACAGAGGAGTCCGATGGGGATACCTCTGATGAAGAAATGGTGAGGATGATTCTGAGATTCAATTTAGTTGTTTCTTTGGATTTATTTTATGGATCTTGGTTTTTATTATGACTTTAAATAATCATAGGAGTTGGAAAATTCTCAAAAGGTGTGTCAGTTTTGGATATGATACCGAGCTTCTTTTTTAGACTTAATTCTCTCTATTTGTGTAAAGCTAGAGATTCAGGACAGAGCTCTTTTGACATCTAATTTCCTTTTTTTTAAACTGAGCTGGAACATGTTCTCCCAAGGGATTCAAATTTGTTAGACTCTTCCCCAGTTGGGGTAGTGAGGTGGAGTAGTAATGCATCTGTTTCTTACTATTTTTGTCATAAAATCGGTACGAGGTATTTAATGTGCAGTTAATAGTTTTCCATAAAATTTCTTTAAGAAATTTTTTTTTATCCTCTATTTAAGTTGAACATGAGGTTGTGTATTTATTATAATTATAATGATTGTGGAATTCTATATTTGAATAGGGAATTTATGTTTTTTGTTGTTCTTTTTTTTTTAGGTTGATGAGTCTCTTTACAATCACCGTCACAATGCTGGACGAGGACGAGGTTTTCAGCTGACGAACCGTTAAAAGTACTCTTGTTGATACAACAGTGAACTACTCCACACGCTGATTTGTCTCACTAGGGACAAGATTGGTGGGACATCCGCCCCCGGATCAGCCATGGACATAACTGTCCCAAGCGACTGGCAGGCTTACCAGAGATGAACACAGCATCGGATCACTGGAATAGAGATCTCCATTTATTTTTTTTTTCACTTCTAAGAAAATTAATTTTTTCCTTTCTTCTTTGAGTACTTTATTTGTCCTTTTATCAAATGAAAAAAGATTAATTTGTTTCCTCAAGCATTGTAAAGGTAAAATTTATTACCGTAAAAAGTTTTAGTATGACAGAAAGGCTCTCTTTACAATTGAATAAAGATACAGACAGATAAAGGATTTATCATGTCAATAGAAGAATTTAGAAAGGGTTGGGGGGGGGGGGATGCTTTCACTCTTTGGATTGGGATTGCAGTTCTGGATTTGATTTGATTTTTAGCAACATTGGACAAAATACCACCAACCTTGCTTTGCAAAAATTGAAAGTATGGATCACTCAGGGAGGAGTATTTGTGATATTTGAGCTATATCTGAATATCAGTGAAAATTCAATTTGCAGCTCTTTGTTTCTTCAACATTTTTTATCCACCTGACAGTTGATCAGTGGGTTCAACTGTTGTTTTTTTTCCTTTTGTTTTTTGTTTTTTGCTGCAAGCTGCTAGTAATGAATACAAGCCAGGCGAGGTGTCTAAAATGAGTCTCTAATGTTAAAAATATAATAAGAGCTCAATTGTAATTGTACTTTTAGTTTGTGGCAATGGAGGAGTGGTTAAGCTAGATTGAGAAGCCACAGGGAATAGCTTACCGTAGCTATTTTTCACGAGATTTGTGAGCAGACTTGCAGGGCTTTCAATCCAGGAAGAGCCTTTTAAGATTTCTTGAGGCCAATGAAGCAGGTCTGTTAGAATTTTGTAAATACAGGTTTATTAAAAATACTGAGGTTGTGATTTTTTAAATCTAATTTTATTCAATTAGGCTGTCACAACCTCTGCTTGTAATTTATTTTTATTGTTGTTGTTATTGTTTTTTTTAACACTTTTTCATGGATGTTTATTTCATTGCCTGTCATGTTAAATGAGACGAAGATTTATAAGTGGCTGAAAATTTCAAATGAACTCCATTGAATTGTGTGACTGCTGTCTGCTGAACGCTTACGTCTGTTGGCCTGAGTGATGTGTCCGTTCTTTTTATGAGGTTGTTTGCGAAATCAAGTTACTTTTCAACTGTTTCTGCGAATAGGGCAATATTTTTTTTTTTTAAAAATACAATTGACATGAGCGATATTGGAGTGTGTTAAAAGGTTTGTCCTGTCTTTGGTGCAGTTTTTTCTTTCTAGTTCCACATCACCGTTTGTCAAGAAAAGGACGTAAGGCCTACCCCATGATTCTTGTTTGAGGAGTTCCTTCACAGTATGATTTGCCATGCTTCTGAAAATAACATTTTACAGTTGAAGTGAGACAAAAATATAAAAATTATCTCATGTCATCATGTTTCATTTTCTTATATTCAAGCATTGATTAGTTGTGAGAAAACCGCTTGTCCATCTTGAACTTCGTTTTAAAGTACATTATGTTCTTGTCAGTGTATTGTCAGGTATACCGTATGAAGGAAGCAGACCTTTCTTTTTTTTTTTTTGAACTAAAGAGTATTCCAGTCACTTCAAACTGTTTTCAGTAGTTCAAGAAGTGCACCAAAGATATGATTAAATTTATGCATAGCTGTTGCTTTTCTCAAGTGCGAAGTAAGTTACTGACGATATGATTGTTATTTATTTCTTTGCATGAAAGTTTAAAAGATTGGACCATTGCATCCAGTGCAAATAAAAGTGACTGTAAATACTGTACAGACCATTGAAAACTACCAGTGGCAGACATTCATGAGCAGTTGATCTCGTGGGTTGTCATGCAAATGATTTGTATCATCATTTATCCAGTAGTCATCTGTACATCTTTAGCCATTTCTAGCCATTAAAATGACCTTGCAATTCTTAATGTCTGTGTTTTTACAATTGTTTGTATATATATATATATATATATATATATATATATATATTATGTAAATTAATACAACTTCTGTCTATTGCTGCTTTGTTGACAAAAACGACTTTCCTTTTTTGTAAAAACTTGCCTTTCAGTCTCTACCTGGGAAGTTTCTCTACTTCTCTGATCTTATCTTGCTTTTTTCACTTTTCTTGTGTGTTTTGTGCTTTTATTCTGATTCTTCTTGACTTTCTATTTTGTTTGTTTTGGGGTTGGTTTTTTTTTTGGGGGGGGGGGGGGTGAGATGTGCCATGGTTGCTTTTATTAACTTTGCCACTGATTGAGATGAGTAAGGCATACATAATACATGTCTGAGCAGGAAACTGCAAGACCTCTCTTCAAAGTGAAAGTGGTCCTCCTTACCCAGTTTCGTCTGTGACTCACCTACTCATAAAGGTTCTGGCTCTGAAATTGAAAAAGATCGAACAGTACAGCTCACCCACTGTGCTGACAGAGGTGTTAATCTCCAAGTCTTATATTTGATTTCATCAAATACAAATAGTATTAGTAACCGAAGGTCTCCAGGCCTTGTTTTCTTAATGTATTGCCATGGATATATATTATATACTTTATTCCTCTATTCCTCTCCTATGTCAATAGCCAAGTCATTTGAAAGGGGGTTAAAACTCAATTTATCCAAGCTCCACACTCTTGAGTCTAAGAAGTGAAAGTTGAATGAAAGTTTAAAAGATTGGACCATTGCATCAAGTGCAAATAAAAGTGATTTCAAATACTGTACAGACCATTGAAAACTACCAGTGGTAGACATTCATGAGCAGTTGATCTCGTAGGATGTCGTGCAAATGATTTGTATTATCATGCACATGTAGTGATGATGTCTGTGGTGACGCATGACAATGAGAAGGACTTTAAACCAGCTGATACTTTTTTGATAGGAGGAGAAAATGAAATGAACCAACGGGAGAGTACACTTGACCTCTTCTTACCCTTGTCTCTATTTCCTGGCATCTGTTCTGAGCCGTTGTGGTACTTGTACATGGGTACAATATGTACTTTTGTACCATCAAATCAGTTTATGAATCAGGAACAAACTTGGGCCTTCTGCTCACAGGCGAATGGACTTCTACGAGAAAAGTGTGTTTGTCAACACAAGCCTGTTTTGGAGCCAGGTTCAACAAATAACGTTGGTGCTGTCAAACTCAAACACAAACTACGTTGAATCCTGGCTGCTGGCGGAAGATGATGCATCGTGTATTATAGTGGGAAGGCGGGTATGTGTATTTACTGTCCTATTGGTGTACAAGATGTCATTTGCATAGTGGTTCTTTCGTCAGGAGCAACGAAAGCGTGTAACTATCTGTCAGCTTCTCCGTCCTCGTCATCTCGGTGATAGTCACACAAATTGAATGTGGAAGACAGAAATGGGGATGGGATGTTTATATAGTTGTTTCTGAACAAGTGTCTGGAAATCATTTTGCTTCTCTTTTTCTTCTAAGTTTACACAAATAACACTACTTGAATTATTAACAGCGTAGATAGATTCTGAATCCAGAGCCAACTCTTTTTTCGTCGTATCTTGTGTCTGGAACTAGGCTACTGACTACGACGGGTATTAAAAGACTGGCTTACGTTACGAAACGCATGCGATATGAAGTATGAAGTGGCTCCGACTCGGAGTGAATCAGTAATGTATCGTCAAGCCCTGTATGCTCAATCCTAAGACGTTTTTTTTTTTTTTTAAAAGAATGTATTAAGTGATGTAAAAAAGCCTAACACAAGGTTCAATCATAATCCAAACGTTAACCCGCGAATGTTCGTTTTTAGTCTTTGATTACGTTTATAACTTGTTCTCTTTCGTCTGTCTGCGGTTAAGTTTTTAATTAAACCGCTTTTGGCGGACTTCAAAGAAAAGATGTCGGAACCTTTGAGAGAGTGACCTGCCTTTGTTAACGGGCTTGTTGATAATTGTTGGCCATACAACTTTAACCAGCACACTGAGACCCGAGAAGATCAGACTGAGCTTAGGCCTATAGTTTTTATATTGGGTCTCAGCGTGCTGGTTGAAGTTAACACTGAAGGGTACATGGTTGTGTCCCTCCCTGTCTCTATCAAAATGAGCAATTTGTAGACAAGGGTACTGTACCCTTTATTGTAGCGATTCAGTGTATGCACCCAGAGGACGGTGTAATTGGGCCCCAATTATAAAAGAAACGTTTTTATTACCGGATCAAGAATTAAAGCAAATTATAATGAGCTAGAATTAATTAAAAAAAACCAACGCTGTTAGACTATCAAGGAAGACAGAGAACCAAAAGCTGTATTGAGTTCCATACATAAAATATCGAAGCTGGATGTGCGAGTTGTGCGTGAAAACCCAATGAGGTGGCGGGTATTTACTAAATACTACGTCGTAGAATAATAAAATGATTTTCTGCCCTGAATGCTTCCTTCACCACCCCGCCCCCAATGCATTTTCCCTTTCAACCATAAGCGGTTTACTAAGGATTGGACATACCAACCCAACCTGTATTCAGAAACCAAATTACTACATAGATCTACATACCCACCCCTTTTCATTGGGGAAATTTATCCCAAGAAGAAACTTTTGAGGTGGTGCGTCGAGATGGGGAACCTCCGAAGCCTCGGCTTAGTTGAAATTGTAGGGTGTGCAATTCACTGTTGTAGCTCAGGGGTTCAATCCCTCCCTAGACAGGTTTCTCTCTTTACACCCCGTTTCCCACCCCCC